TGTCTAAAATTTTTCTCCTGGTTCTCCTCACTTGACTCTGCATTCATTCACATAATTCTTCCCAGGTTTCTCTGAAACTATCCCTTTCATTATTTCTTAAAGCACAATAGTGTTCCATTATATTAATAGACCTTAATTTGTACAGCTATTCCTTAACTTATTTGATGGTCACCCTTTAGTTTCTAAGAGCTCTGTTATAAATATTTTTGCACATGCAAGTCCTTTTCTTCTTTAGTTGATCTCGTTAGGGGTATAAACCTAGTAATGGTTTATTATTGCTGGACTTCGGGGGTTATTCTTAGTTTACTAACTTTTGGGAAGTATTTCCAAATTGCTTTCCAGAATGTCTGGGTCAATTCATAGTTCCACCAACAGTGCATTCATATTCCTGCTTTCCCCAGAGTCTGCCCACACCCCCAATATTTGTCTTTTGCTCTTTTTGGTCAACTTTGTCGATCTGATCAGTGTGAGGTAAAACCTCAGAGTTGCTTTAATTTTCATTTCTCCATGTAATAGTGATTTTGGAGCATTTTTGCATATAGCTATTGATAGCTTGAATTTCTTCCCCTGAAAACTGCCTGTTCATGTCCTTTGACCATTTATTAACTGAAGAATCGCTTTTATTCAAATTGTTCTTATTCTTATAAATTTGAATCAGTTGCTTATATAATTTGGAAATGAGCCTTTTATCAGAAAAGCTTTGCTGCAAAGATTTTTTCCCTAGTTACTTTCTTCTCTTCTAATTTTACTTGCATTAGTTTTGTTTGTGCAAAACCTTTTAAATTTTATAGAATCAGTCTGCTTCTACTCTCCTATTTCTCTTCTCTTTCCTTAACACAGAGCCCAATTACATGTCTTACTCTTTCATTCTTTTCTTTTAAAACCCCTCTTCAAGATCCATCATTGATGGTTAGAGTTTCTTTTACTTGTTCTTCTTATTTGCTTATTTTTATTGCTTATTCTTCCCAGAATCTACCTACCTTTCCCCTCCTATTTCCCTGTTGAGTGAAATATATTTCTGCACCCAGTTGTGTATTCTTCACTCCTTTGACCAGTTCAGAAAAAAAAGAGAGGTTTAAATGTTGCTCACTTACCCCAGTCCTTCCTCCTTGTTTATAGTCTTCTACTTGAGCATCTCAATTATATGGGATAATTTCACCTACTTTCCCCCCCCACCCTTGCCTCAGTATATTCCTTTTCCCTGTCTTTTCTTTTCTTCTAAAGTCATTAAAGTATAAACACAACTACTCTCCAGCCTTTTGCATTATTTGACTTCCTCTGTGACCTTTAATGATATTAGCCTTCTGAGGGGACACATGAATCACTTCCCTCTATTAGAATGTAAACACTTCATCCTTATATAGTCCCTTATGATTACTTACTCCTTTTACCTGTTTATATTTCTCTTAATTCCTTTGTTTACATTTCAGATTTTCTGCTCATCACTAGTCTTTTTTGTTGGGAATGCTTAGAAGCCCTCTTAAAGAACCATTTTTACCCTTACAGGATTGTTATACTTAGATTTGATGGGTAAGTTATTCTTGGTTGTAAACTTATATCTTTTGCCTTTTGGAATATTGTATTACAAGCTCTCCACTCCTTTATAGAAAAGTGACTGCTGAATCTTATGTAATTCTGACTGTGGCTTCTCAATACGTGAATTGTTTCTTTTTGGCTGTTTGCAGCATTTTTTCTTCAACCTGGAACTCAGGATTTTGGTTGTTATGTTCCTGGGAGTTTTTATTTTGGAATTTCTTTCAGGAAGTTACCAGGAGATTCTGTTTTCACTTTGCCCTCTGGTTCTAAGAGATCCGCAGTTTTATTTCATGATTTCTCAAAATATGATGCCCTTACTTCTTTTTTGGGGGAGGAGGGGCCAATGATTCTTAAATTATCTTTTCTCAATTTGTTTTCCATGCCAATTTTTAAATATGAGATACCTTATATTTTCTCCTATTTTTTCAGTCTTTTGACATCATTTTAGTATTTCTTGTTGTCTCATAGAATCATTAACTTCTATTTAGTCCATTCTTATATTTTAAAGAGTCTTTTGCTTGAGTAAAGTTTTGCACCTCTTAGCTAACTTATTTCCAATTCTTTCCTTCGAATCTCCCATTTCTTCTCTAATTCTTTCTTCTTGTGCTCTCATTTGATTTATGAAATCATTTTAACTCTTTTTAAAAAACTCTTCACTTCTCCTGGGAATGCTGAGAATTCTGTTTATAAGAACTTGTAGCCAAACTGTGTTTTTCTTTGAGATTTTTGCTTGAAGATGTTTTGCAGTTATTCTCTTCTTTTGAGTTTGTTTCTTTGACTTCCCTATCACCATAATAGCTCTTAATGGTTTGTTGTTGTTCAGTCATGTCTGACTCTTTGTGACCCCATGGACCATAGCATGCCAAGCCCTTTTCTCCTCCGCTATCTCCTGAACTCTGTCCAAGTTCATGTTTATTGTTTCCATGATACTCTCTATCCAACTCATCCTCTGCCTTCCCCTTTTCCTTTTGCCTTCAGTCTTTCCCAAAATCAGAGTTTTTCCAATGAGTCCTGCCTTCTTGCTATGTGGCCAAACTATTTAAGCATCAGCTTCAATATTTGACCTTCCAGTGAATAGCCTGAATTAATTTCATTATTGACTGATTTGATCTCCTTGTTGTCCAAGGGACTCT